GCAGGGAGCCTGCTTCTCCCTCTGCCTGCCGCTTCCCCTGCTTGTGCGCTTGCTCTCTTTCTTTCCTTCTCTCTCTCTCTGACAAATAAGTAAATAAAATCTTTAAAATGAATAAATCTTAAAAAATAATAAAACAAAAAACAATGTGGCAATAGCATAAGCATAGAAGAGCACAAGCTATGGGAAAGCAGTGGAAAGTACAGGCAGAAAGATAGGCTGCAGTAAGGACACTCTGTGAACATTATTATCTAGATAATGTTCATAAAATGTCTAGTACAAGATATAACCATTAGACCAAGGACCTTTTGAATCATCAAAGAAACTATTAAAGGAAACAAAGTGCTGAGGCCTTCAAGGACTGAGCTATTTTCAACCAAAATTTACAATTTTGATCTGCATCAAAAAGTCTGCCTTAGAATCTGATTTCTGAAGAGACAGTCAACAGTTTCAAAAGTGGCAGGTCCAAAAAAAAAAAAAAAAGAACAGGTGGCAGGCCAGACTTGAAAACCAGCCCCAACCCAAACCGTCTGGACTTCACTATATTAGTGGAAACAATACAGGTGGTTTCCTACTTACTGTTCTGTATTCTGAATGTTGGTCAAACTCAGAGCTCAAAGAGTCCAAAGAGACTGCAAGAAGAAAACAGACATTAAAGTATATGATTAAGGTCAATTCTTATTCATAAGGAGCTTTTAGAATCCAGCCTGTGATTTATCCCGGCCACACCCTCTCCCGTTCTCTTAGATGCCTACCTTCTTTCATCAGCCCCCATTGCCCAGCCCCACGCCCCCAAAGAAGGGTATTGTTTTCTGGCACCTCTCCTGGCAGACACACAGAAGTAACACTTGGTCCAGGTTCTGTAACTGACCACCCTAACAGGCTTGCTTGAGAAAGAACTTCGGAGCTATGGAATAAAAGAGAAGGAACTCTTAATAATTCACGATATTCTTCTCCTCTGTGGCTCAGGGTAACAAACGCAAAACTTAACGTTAGGTGCTACCGTTTTAACTCCATTTTCGAGTGGGCGTCAAATCTGGCTGGACTAAAGCCCCTTTCTCATAAGCCTCAGCGTGCCTGGCGCGCCTGGCATTCCCAAGCCCTATTCCTGTTCATCTCCCGCAGAGGTTCGGTAGGGCCACTGTGTCCATAAAAAAACAACTTCTGATCTTGGGTTCCAGATAATCTGCTTCAAGGGAGAAAGAGCAGACAGCAGGGTGTCGCTACGAAGGAGCCGGGAGCCAAGGCCAAGCAAGAACGAAAGAGTATCACTGCCTCCACCGTCACCCCCCAGCCCTGCACGCCCCGCACGTTCGCGCTCCCTAGACGACCGCAGGCCGCGGGAACCGCCAGTAACGGGTGCGCCGAGGGCCGCCGGGGGGCCGGGATCCCAGGGTGGGTAGCCAGGCGGCCCGACCCACCCTCTGATACTCCTCCACGCCACCCCCCACCCCGTCCTGGCCGACCAGGCCCGGTGAGCGGTGAGCGTTACCTGCCAAGTCCCCGGCCAGGAGCAACAGCACCAAGCGCACGGCTAAGAGCGCCATGCTCCCTCTGCGGCCAGCCGTCAGATCACCGCCCGCTCCCGCGATGCGCGACAAGCACCGCGCGACCAGGTCGGAGGGGCGACAGGCTGGCCTGGGGGAAGGGGGGCGGGG